CATGTTTATTATTCCTAACACATTAACTCTAAGATAATTGGTAGCGTTCAACGCCACTGTTTCCTCGTTCACTTCATCCAGCTGACATTCAATCCGAGTTTCGATGATCACAATTACCGGCATAAAATAACCGCTATACATGCTAGCGCTACGTTAGCTAATAAGTTTAGCCACGCTTCGTGTAGTCATCCAGTCACTTTAAACCCCAAAACAACAAACAAGAGCGGCTCAAAATCCGCTTCTCACCTTTAGATCATTCTCCGGGAGGTATTTGCAGTGTCTTGCTATGTCAACGTACTTATCGAGGTCTAAAGGCGCCATTATCACAACACTAAAGACAGCAGGGGGAAGCTAACGAAGCTAGCTAGCTAGCTCTTTTTCTTCCTTTTCCTTCTTCTGCTTCTTCTTCGTTCTCAAGTTTGTCAAAGTTAACTGATTCACATCCGGTAAAACCTTCAAAATAAAGAAAGTCAACTCGTAACTAAAATACATTTAAACCATAGACTGTAAGATTTAAACGTTATTTTGTGTCTTACTTAAGAATGTTATACGATTATTATACATTTGTTTTTTAATTAATTAAATTAATTTAAAAAAAATATTTTATTGTTTTAATTTACAAGTTTATTGCCCTGTCTTTTATTTCCTGCCTCTTAATATTTTGTTAATATTTTATTGGTGTAATAATCTTTAAATCATCTTTAACAAACTACCCCCCCCCCCAAAAAAAAAAAAACAACTGCTAATTTGTCTGAAAGGTGCTGTATGTTAAAAAGTTTGTTTGATTGATTGATAAAGAATAGCAACATGCAGTTAAATAAGATATGCATTGTGAATATATATATATATATATATATATATATATATATATATATATATATATATATATATATATATTAGTATTTTGCAGAAAATGTTATGCAAGCAAATCACACAACAGCTGAGATCAAACGTGTTTTAAGCATAAATTAAAGTGGCTGTTTGTTGCTAACTTGACGCAGTTTAAATCAGTGTTTTTGATGCAGATAAAAGCGACAGCGCCCTCTGTTGGCATGACTGTCTCCTCCGCTGACATACTATAGCCTATATTATTTTGTCAATAAACTTTATCAGCATCAAATTTAAAGTTAAATTCTTGCAATTCCTTAACATATGAGTACAGGAAGACATAATAAATAATAAAGTCATCGGGCAACAATGTCCAAACAATGTTTAAAGCGTTCTTGTTTTTCAATACTTTACTGACGGATTCACAGAATCTGGAGTTTAATGAAAAATAAGGTTTTACAACAACTTCATCACATTATTATCTTCAGTACTATAGTGTTATAGCATTTAAAAATAAGACCATACTCTATAACAGGAACGAGGATTTTGTCACTCTACCTGATAAAGACATTTGAGGCAAAAAGTAGCATGAGTGACTGCATCTTCAAAACAAATGACAAAAAGGACTCCACCTCCTCTTTGTAGAAGGAAAATAAGGGAGGAAACATCGGGTATAAATTTGTAAATGAAGTCATTACCAGGATTTTAAAGATCCCATATTATGCTTTTTCTGGTTTTATATGCCCTTTAGTGTGTTTTCCAAGTGTCCTGTGAATGTTTAGACACATCTATTTGCAAAAATTCAAAGTCCTGTTAGCTGTAGCATTAGCTGCACGTAACGCTCGGTTCTAGCCCCCCTCGATAAAAATTTGTCAGTGCGGCGTCATTGTCAGTGTGAGATCACTGATCTAAGCCCATTGGCTCGTTGTGGCAAGCCCTGCAGCTCATGTTGAAACTTCCAAGAAGCGTGCTGAGCAACTGACCAATAACGACAGAGCGGATCGGCAGACCAATCAGAGCAGACTTGGCCCACGTGGGGTCCAACAGTGGGGGCTCAGCAGAGTGCAGCTGACAGACTCAGAGCGTAGAGGGAGCAAGGAGAAAGCAGTACATGAAAACAGACACTTTTTTCGGACTTTATCTATTGTGAATGTACAAAAGTAGGTACATAGATTAAATATACGAACCCCAAAAAGGGCATAATATGGGCTCTTTAGTATGAATTTCATTGACTTTATTTGGGGTGCTGAGAGATACCGGGACACCAACTATATTCCTAATCCTTTGATTTTGAACAAAAGAGACATTTTTAATCTAAACAATTCACTGCTCAGTCTGTGAATTTAATTCACATGCATTCACTCACATGCACACACTGGATCCTATGGAGAGATGTCAGCTTTAGGGGGGGACGCACCCACACAGTTGGGGGTTCAGTGCCTTGCTCAAGGGCTCCTTTGCAGTGCTCAGGAAGGGAACTGGAACCTCTCCAGCTACCTGACCAATTTCCAAATTTGGTCCAAGTCCCTACAGACTGAGCTACTACAGCCCCCAAAAAATATATCTATATGAGGCCCCTTGGTGCCCCAGGCAATCACCCCCGATGCCTGTTGGGTAAAACCTCCTGGTCTTCATGCCGTAAGTGCATGCTTGCATCTCCATTGGATGCACAAGAACACACAAAGAGGGTTGCATTTTGTTAAACCTCTCCTCTACAGCACTTGTGGTCAAAAAGTAAAAACACTTCCTTTAGAGAAATGAAAAGCATTAAGGTAGGAGTGTTGGCCCAAGTATACTTTTAAGATTTGTGTTAGATCTTGAATAATATAATTTAAAAAATAAGCGTGCTGAATCCTGTTTATGTACATTTGTAAAACTCCGACTCACTGAGCAGGAACACCACCCGTACATCAGACAGTCTTCTGAATCTATACAAGGTGTGTTCAAGCTCAGACAACCAACTGTCAGTGCGTGAAGCAATTCATGATGAATGGTTTCTGTTATCAAACATAAATCTGTGTCTTTCAGCCGCACATTCCCTCTCCTGTCAGGCGGACACACAAAGGAGCAGCACTGATCCCCTCCAGACAGAGCAGCAGCTGCTCTGATTTCACTGCTTCAACATATCAGACGAGGAAACATTACAAGACACACAGGATCAATTGTTCCACACACGAGCTGCGGTTAACCTGCGGAGCAGAGACGCACGGCTCATACTTGTCACAGGAAGGAGTGTGTTCAACAGATGGTTCCCTGATCAGTGAGCACATATCATATGAAGTAGTCGTCTAAAACTGTCTGTCTAATAACGCTAGACTGGCCTGAAATGCTGTCTCAAAGCAACTTCAGGTCAATCTAGTAACAAATAAAGAGGGTGAGCTGAGGCGGGACTTTAGCCTCCTGACAACGCACCTGTCAATCAAATCAACCTAATTATGCTAATGTGAACAACTCTTATCCTTAATATAATCCAAACAGATGACTTATATTTACAATAAATCATCACCAAAATAGTGTTAAATATTTAAGAGATGAGCCATATAAACACCAGGCTGTAAACATGCTGATTTGGACATTTAAACATAGAGCTTTATGAGGATTGACTAACTTTTGCAGCGAGCCTCCAGTGGTCACTTGAGGAACTGCAATCTTCTGCACATCTGCTTGGTTAGAAGCCTGCTCTTATTAGTCGTAGCCTCCAAAACGTTTGATCTGCACCCGCTGAAAATAAGCAGCAACCTCCAGTGTTGAAAAATTAAGCCAACGTGAAAAACTGCAGTTCTTTGAGTGTCCACTAGAGACTGGCTGCAGAAGCACAGGAAGTCACATAAGCCGTTTACATATGCACTCCTGAAAATATCTAGATAATTTCAAGAGGACTGCTCCGGATATTCTCCTGACCTGGCTGTTCACACATGCACCTCACAACGGGAGACTATCCCTGTCAGACGGGAGGGGGGGGCGGGGGTCTCCTGAGGTAAGACGTGACTTTAAAAAAAACGGAAGTGTCGGACGAATCAACAGAGTCGCTGTCATGAGAATATTTGTCTTTATATCAATGATATGTGTAGTTGAACAGAATCTCAATCTGTACTAAAGAGTGGAGAAGAACATACTGGAGAACAGGAAACATAATGCAGCCGGTTCATTATGTTTCTATTGGCTGACTGAGAGTTAGGTTGAAACAGCATCGATGGACTTCAAAACTCTTCTTGAGGAACCAATGGGTGACGTCACTGAGACTATGTCCATGTTTTATACGTCATGTTTTAATGTCTGTTGTTGAAGCACTCCTCAGGATTAGTAAATGATCTGAGCCTCTCTAAACTAGTTTGTGTTTGTTTGCTGCTCAGTCATCAAACTTACACTTTGATAAAGTCACACTCAGAGTTATTCTTCCAGTGTCTTTAACCACAGTGCTTAGAACCAATCACAGTCATCTTGGTTCTAAGACAAGAATGCAGAGATTATGCTTTTGCAAAAGAAAGTGTTTACATAAAGGCAGACGACGTAAGCAGGTAGTTTGGAGAAAAATCGAAATATTTGTCAGAACGTGAACATTTTTGAGAGCATTGCCAGCTGAGAGTTTGTTGTTTTCTCTCTGATACCGTCAGATAGCAAAATGGCTTATAGCTGTTTCTGCTGCACGTCTCATGACTGAAACATGCTATGTCTGATTAAGGACAATGTGTGAGAGTTTGCTCCACTCTTTTCTTTGGATTTGCAACTGAATACAAGAATCTAAAGGTGAGGACTGGCCCTTTTAAAGCAAGAAAACCTTCACACTTTAGAGATGACAAAGATCACGTTGTTGCATGTTCATCCCTGTAAGCTGTGATGTATTCAGCAGAAATGAACAACTTTTAATCATGAATGGTTTCACAAAGAGAAAACACATCTGTTACACTTTGAAGAAACTCTTCTATGTTGGTGAATGTCTCCCTTTTTCTGACTCTATGTCTCTATTTATATATCGACTATCTATTTGAGAGGCTGGCTACAGCAGCTTTTCATTTGCATTGTCCCTCCTGTTCATTGCACATTTGGAATGAAAAGGGTTAAATCAAGTAGTGCCGTTGAGCAGACTCGTAAATGTGTAATTAAAAGACAAAGAAATCCGGCTGCAGGCTATAAGATCCCCTGCTGTCATTCATTCCTCCTCACTCGTCCTCCTCACCGGCAGCCCTCATTTAGCCTCCTCCTCCGCGCGCTCTGCTTCACTGTGTCTGTGCCAGAGGAGGAAGAAGATGATGTTCTGCAGCAGCATCTTGGCTTTGCACCTTTTCCTCTGTGTTCATTCTCTGCCTGTACACGAGCGGAGGACGGGCAGCAAGTACAAACAGCTGCAGGTGAGTCAAAGAGAGAGAGAGAGAGGAAAACTTAAAGAAAAGTAGAGAAAAGAAAAGCTGGAGATCAGAGGAGGAGAGGAGGTGTGAGAGGTAGACAAGAGATGGAGCTGCAGATAAAGGGTGTGACACAAAGAAGTGCGTGTGAATGGATGTGTTTAATGTAATTTACAGTCAGTAAAGTTGAGTTTTATTTAACCGTAATAAGGTCAGAAAAGAAGTGAAAGGCGGAGCTCCTTCTTAAGTCTCAACAAAGGCAGCGTGTTAACTCTGAGCTCAAAGTGTAAATGCTTTGATTCTCTAAATATGCTGATGTTTGAGGTCATGTTTCTTATAAAAGATTGGAAGTTTATCACAAACAGATCATGATACTTCACTTTACAACAGTTTAGAAATGAAGCTGCAAAAATGAAATGTCTGAAAGCTGCATTAGCTGTTGTCAACTCTGCAGAACTCCTGCAGTGATGACACATTTTTAATGAATTAACTCTTGTTTTGTGAAACACAGTTTTCTTCCCTGCATGCAAGCGAGGAAAGGAAATCTTTTGTTTGAAACTTTTAGCAGTTTTTTGGATGCACTCTTACTCTCCGGTATATCTGTCAACAGCGTGAGTGAGACAGTGAGCTTAAGCAAGCAGAGGCAAGTCGTCTGGCACCCGGTGCTTGTTTGCTGACTCAGGGGAAAAAGAGAAAACAGCAGATCGCTTCTCACAAAGATCACACTGCACTCTGCTCACTGCATCATTCAGAGAGGCTGCAGAAAACAAGCAGAGCTGACAAACATTATGAAACCACAAAATTATGAGCCTCGATATTTAAGTGCTTAAAAAGTCACAGAAGAAGAACTTGGTCGTTGACAGATTAATCTGTCAAGCATGCAGTCAAGCCCCGACAGCCGGTGCAGGGCGCTAAGACTCTCTTATTTACCAAGTACTGTGTCAACGTGCATGTTCAAGCTGCTGCACCCAAGTTTAGGTTTTTACATTTTCTACTACTTGAAACTTTAACCCCTTCATGTTTGAGATGAAAATAAAAAATTGGATGAAAAAATATCTTTTAGAAAAGAAAAGAAAAGAAAAGAAAAGAAAAGAAAGAAAATGGTGGAGTGTGTAGCCGCCCAGAGGTGGAGACAACATTTCCAATATGGCCGCCATAATTGTTTAGCTACAATTAGCGACTACATCCATGTTTTCTACATGGTTATCAGAGGCACTGCTTGTCAAAAGGCAACTGCTTGGGCCCCAGACCACTAGGAGTCCCCAAAGGCTGAACAACTTTAAACCACAGCAGTAGCTCAAAATGTATAGTATAGTAGCAAACCCCCCTAATGGGGCTCCATCTGACAGCACTCACTCTCGTTGCCCTGCTAAGCATCTCATGTATTACCAGAGGCGCTGCTTGTCAACAGGCAAGGCAGGCAACTGCTTGGGGCCCCAGACCAGTGAAGGGCCCCAAAGCAGCAGCCTGAGATGTGCACATTTTGCAATGACGGCAGGAAACCTCCCTAAGGGGGGCCCATCTGACAGCACTCATTCTTGTCGCCCTGCTGATTGTGGGTTGTAAGGCCCCCCGATTGGTTTTTGCCTGGGGCCCTAACATTTTTGTTCTGCATCAGGTTGGCTACAGTTCACCTGAGATACCTTAACTTCAGTTTGTAAATAGTGAATCTGAATTTAAAGCAGTTGTTGTGAATGTAAGTCTAACCTGCTGCAAAGAGTTAACAGATAAATCTGCAGCCGCTCCTGTGTTTTTAAGCTCACGTTCAGCCTGGAGATGAACTGTTTAGGTTATTTTTAACTGTCTTATTGTCGAAACTGTCTGAGCATGCCCTGCTCACATGAACAAATTTAAGTTTTATTGACATCTTCACGATTGCTGCACATGTGGTGTGCTGCAGGGGATCATAATGGAGGATCAGTCTCTCATCTCCGTTCATCCTAATCCTTCTTTATCCCACTAACATTCCCCACACTTGGCATTAACAGCAGGGTTGTGTACAAAACACAGAATACTTGAGGATATTTTGGAGTTTTTGTGGTTAAATATTTACTCTTGACAGATTTCCTCCTTTTGGCGCATCATTTATCTTGTTTTGCCCCCCTGCAGCTGTGTGAGATCTTATCCAGCTGTGTTGTTGAGGGAGTCAAATAAGACTCTGTTTTAAAGTGGGCAAGTTAGTCAGCCTGGGTAATGTCAGATCAGCATCCTCGCATACCCCCCACAAACACACTCCCTGTATTATTCTACAGACGACTTGATGTCATGACTGAACGGGGACTTTCCAGACATCTGCTCAGTGTGTGTGATGCAGCCCTGTGTGTGAGTCTGCATGTGGTGCTCAGTGTGTATGATGCATGTGGTGCATTTTTTCATGTCCTGTGCGTGTTCATACCTGCAGCACACATTGTATTTAAATGTTTGAGTGACATTAACAAAGACTCCCCGATGTAACAGATGCCGCCTCGTAGATAAAACAACAATGCTACCTTCTGTAGACAGCGCCGAGCTTCATGTGGGTTAAAGCTCGGGCACGTCAGTTTAGGAGAGACGTAGAAACCGCAGCGTGCTGCTGTGACATGTCGGCTCGGTCTCCAGGATCGCCCCATCAGACCCACAGCTTTGTTTTAACACCAATAAACTTTGTGTTTCTGTGTTTTCCCGCAAACTCTCCTTATTTCTGTCACTCAGCTTCAATCAGGAAACCTCCTGAACCCTCCTGAGCCAGACCAACCACAGGGTCTGTTATCATCAGGGTCTGTGGTGCAGAAATCCAAACCTGTTTGAGTTTGTTTTAGATTGCAGCAATCTCAGAATCAATCAGCTATTGTCTGACAGAAAGAGGAGGACAATGTTTTGGGGTTTCTGGTGGAGACAGGAGATTCCTGGAAAACTGTTAGTGTACATCTGGGCCAAGATTTCCTCTCCAATATGCCGGTGATTGTTTAGACTAGACCAGGAAACTGAGAGATGAGAATGGAGTTGGTATGAGATATATCTTCTTTACGGGTAGAAAGCGTGTTCATAGTCAGAAGTTATCAAATGTGTTGTTGAAATGCATCACTCCTCTTTTACTCGGTGTGGACCTCCTGGTGGGCAGCCCGGGTTCCTGTTCCTGTTGTTGAACATGCTACACACACACAGGCTGAAACACACACACATGCACACACAGGATCCTGTAGACATGCAGTGATGGAGAGATGTCAGAGTGAGGGCGAGTGCTCCTCAGATGGTGGGAGGGGGGTTAGGTGCCTCGCTCAAGCGCCCCTCGGCATTGATCTGGCACCTCTCCAGCTACCAGATCAACTTCCAGATTTAGTACGCACAGGGACTTGAATCAGCGACCCTCTGGTTCCCAACTCAACTCCCTGCAGACTGAGCTACTCCTGCCCAACTTCACTTTTAGGGTAGTAAACATTTAAAGAAATTCTGTCGTTCCTTCTCAGGGGATTCAACACCTTTGTTTAAATTAAACATGAATGCACTGTGAACAGCATAACGAACGCCTGGATTTGACCCACATGACACACCCGGGAGAGTTTTGTACGATGACTCAGGGCGAGTGTGATCCTTCGTTGTTTAACACTTCAACAAATATTTACCTTAATCCTTCTACTAAGAGCGCTGTAGAACTGAGAGTCCTCTTATTGATCTTCATATTTGCTTTACAATCATGAGGGGCAATTAATCAATACATGGTACCTTAATTACCCTGAGCGCTCTGACTCAGCTCTAAACTAGGTTAGAGTTTAAAGTGACCTTTTGTCTGTGAAGGCAGAGTAATCCTGTTTGTTTCACCTTCAGCTGCAGAGCACAAAGAGCACAGGTGTTTTCTTTTTATTAGACACATTAGTTGTTTTTGGGAGATTTCTAACGCAGATTATTTCACTCTGACTCTTTATTACAGAAGCTCAAAGCAGTGACACGGTAGGTGGTCTGATATCTGATAAAAAACAGAACGAACATGCTTTTTTTAGAGTATCCTGGGGTCATAATTAAAATGATTTGTTTGACAAAATGAAGACTTTTAAATTTCTAAACAGCAGAGGAGTGAAGATGGTTTGGAGATATTTGTCCCTTCTTGCTGATGAGAAAAATATCCAAATTAATCCTTTATCTAAATCACAATCTGAAGTAGCGACACGGGACAAGGACGCAACACTTTCCTCCCTCATGCCTCACAGATGTGTGTATATGTCCAGATCTTCTCAAAGTTAAAAAGCCCACTCAGCGTCTTTAAACCTGGGCTGTACCAATAATCACAGGTTACCAGGACCGCTGACCTCGCTGATGGCAAAAAGTCACATCAGCAGGACAGAAATGAAACTGTATGAGTGAGTGATGATGTCACTGTCTATGAAAGAGTCTCATATCCACCCAGACACTTGTTAGAAGATCTCCTTAGACAGACATAAGATTTACAAAAGAAGATATTTAAAAGCATCACTGACTTTAGCTTCGACTGGCACGTGCACTCCCAAAAAATGTCCAGGAAAGTTCTGACAGCCGGCCCCTTAAATCTCAATCACACACGTCCCTCACGAGGGGAATTTTTCCCTGTCGGAACGGGGAGGCAGGACATGATGTAAAAAAAGACACTGGATGGCCGACACCATAATGACAGTTGTTAGCTTTAAATCAATTCTTCATGTGACTGAATTTATTCAAAGTGTAATCAAAGACAGGCGAGCTGAAAAGAGAAGAAACTTCTTCTGATTCGACCTTTAAGGACAATCTGCCGTCTATCACGATTCCTAGTAACCATGTGCATTCAAACTAAGCATGCATCAGATTAAGAACATTAAATTGTAGTTCTCTCATAAAATGAATACATATATTTTGTCTTTTTGGAGCTTTAAAGGAAGAGAAGATGTGTTGAATACAACATGGTATCATCAGCATAAAAACTGACAATGTCCAGTTGGAAATGAGAAAGTATTTATTATTGTTAGCCAATAAAGACTTTCAAGATTTTTTGCAACGGCTTACAAAGCGCCTGTCTCTGTATGATGACCTTTTGTTCGCAGGAAGGGGATCACAGCAGCAGCCACGTCGGTGTGAAGAAGAGGGGAAAACATGAACAGGACACGCTGAACAAAGACCACCATCTGAAGACTGTACCCGGGTCCAAAAACGACACTGAGTTCTGGAAGCGTCCTCGCTGCGGAGTCCCAGACTACCCCAACTTAACGCAAGTCGGCCTGTCCTACTTCCACCTGAAGAAGAAGAAGAAGAATGGAGGTCTGAGCCGCCAGCAGCGCAAGAAGAGATTTGCTCTGTTCGGAGGACGCTGGGACAAGACTGACCTCACTTACAAGTAAGAAACACAAATATTCAGTTTGGTTTCTTCAGCTGTTTAGCTCCACTTCTGTCTCTGATTTATGTCTCGTGCATGTAAAAGCTTTCAGTGTAAATTGTTTGTAGGTTTAATGTCAGAGCAGCAGAGTTTCTCGTCTTTTAAATGGACTGTGTAGTGTCCTGTAATTAGAAGTTACAGAGCTGGATAATTATTATTTTTGAGACATTGTTATTTGTCACATATGTTTACCCGTGTGGTCAGTGTGGCTAAAGCAGAGTTCTGTCATCACTACCTCATTCTGTAAACCTCTGTTTGTGTTGGGGAATACGTGCTTGTGTTAACGTCCTGTGGCTCCATTAAGATTCTTGTGCTGTTTACAGAAACATTCTGCTCTGATGAGAGGCTGACGGAGGAATGTAGAATTGACTAACGTGCACAGTGTATGTTTGAAAGAGCGCTTCATAGTCAGCAGTAAAACTTTAGTGTTAACTGCAAACACATTCTGAAAAGTAAGAACGAATTATGCGGAGCCGCAACAGCTGCTCACTGTGTCCCACATACACTTTGCTTGACTCATTGAGCTCACAAAAATGCAAGCTTGACAAGAGCTCAAAACATTATTCCTTAGAGAGCATGACAACCTCGAACACTTCAGCAGATCCATAAAAAGTTGTGGTTTCACTCAAACCACGAGGAATGAAACCGCTATTTTGCAGATGACATTGTGGTCTCGTTCGCAATGTAGCATATTTTATCTATACGACTAACAAAACCAGATAGAAACACAGACCCCCCAAATGCAGACTCAAACGAGGAAGAGTTCAGTAAACAGCAGAGATTTAATAAACAGTCCAGGTCAGTACACAGGTAAGCAGTCAGCAGTGCCCAAGGACACATCGGACTTGTGGCTGCAGGAGCTGGCGATCAAACCCTTGACCTTCCTGTTGAGAGACGACCGACTCTACCAACTGAGCCACAGCCGCCCCACCATTGTCTAACCAAAATCACAAAGATCTTTCTTAAAACAAACCCCAGGCTGTTTTGGTTCCTTACTCTAATCAACACAGATGTTTCAAAATTAAACAGATGTTAAATAGCTATTGGGGCGAGAAAGAGTGGGGAATGACATGCTTGAAAGGAGCCACTGGTCAGCCCTGCTTCCAGGACTACAGCCTCAGTACATGGTGCGCCCAAGCTAACCACTAGGCCACCAGCAACCCAAAAATGCATTTTACATTAGCATTATTTTGGAGGTTCTGGCACATCATTTTAACATAAGTCGAGCCACCTTGTGTGATCTTAAGAGGTTCCTATTTGTCTGTAAGAATCAGATTGTTAAAGACTACTTGATTGAAAGAGTTTTTGAGCAGCAGATTCCTCACAAGTAGCGGTGGAAACCAAAACAGAGTAGATATTGGACTCCTGCATGTCTGCGGGATGTGTGAATAAAAAATAGATTTGCCATTGAGGTATATATCAGCAGCTGATTTCACACATGCATAGTATCCTAAAAGTTTCAGGAAAATTTCAGGTCAGTCTGCCTCTGAAATCTTTCTGATGATACTTATTGTATGTCTCTCACAGGGTAAAGTTTTCTCTGTCAGGTGGGAGGGGGCCGGTCTAACAAGGGGGCAGATCATGATGTAAACAGACAGCAAGCGACAAAAACCAACTCAACGCTTCTTGGAATTGGATGTATTCATAATTTCAACGAGCAAAAAGAGAGCTTGCGTGCACAACGATCACACAGTCGAGCAGCAGTTTCAGGATATAAACATAATCACCCCTTCCCTCTCGCTCGCGGTGAATTTTCCTGAATATTTCCTGTTGCTTTCACCCAACCTGACTTCAGCTTCACGCAGAATTTCACTAGTGGGGCAGGCAGGAAACGATCTTGGTAAAGGTGGGATGAAAGAATTGCGTTGACACATGCAGTTCACCGCCAGAAACTTCAGCAGTTTTGAACACAGTGTCATGTTTACATCGAGGTTGCACCGCCATTAAGGCAGAAAAATCAAACATAGCCAGCTCAAACATGTTTTCACTTGACAACAATGTGACCTTGAAGTTATGTTTGGATAACACTAAACTATTTTTCAAATTACGACGTGTTGACATTGTAATCGCTGCCCGGATTAGGTGGTATAAAGCAGAAGATCTCAGGGTTCTTCACTGAAATTAAAAAAAGGATTAAAAAAACATTTTCTACATTTCTCCATGCTATTGTCATATACCCAGCCACTTAAAAAGATCACATTATTATTAAGATGGTTATCAAACCTTGTTTAATGATCCTTTCAGAGATTAAGTACATATACTGCAAAAATGTTCCACCCCTAACCCTGAATATCCAATGCAGTGTGGGATACAAGCTCTACTTTAAAGAAAAACTAGATTCATAACTTGTATTGCTGTTTCTGGAAACTTTTGTTCATGCATACTGGGGACAGAAGTTCAAAACAAAGCTGTAGACTTTGTTCTGACCAGAGTGAGTTTCTGGAGTGAATTATATTCTTGATTACAGGGAACAACACGCTAAACAAAAGATGTGAGTTGGGCTTAATAAACGATCTCAAGCAATTCGTTGAATAGTGAATTTGAACAACATTAAGTAATGTTGCTGTTGGGTTCTTTTTACTGCAAAGTAATAATAATTTTCAGTAGTATTCCAGCAACATCAGGACACCAGGACATACGACCCTGTTTCCAAAACATTGGAATGCTCTGCAAATGTAAATAGAGATTGAATGTAATGACTTACAAAGCACAGAGGTGCAAAGGTCGGGACGTGGTCATGTAACCACTCAGTTGCATCAACTCTTCGTTTAACGACTACTCTTTCCTTGGTAGAGATTGAGCTTGAATTCAGTGACGATTCTAGAGTCTGTTGGGGCCCAAAGCAAAATCTCACAGCTCACAGGGCCCGCCCCCCCCCCCCCCCCAACCATCGTTCATAACCATTATGTTATATAAAAAAAACAACTACAATGGGGACTTTCATTCACAAAATTCATTTTCACAGGAAATTGTGACACTTAGCAGCGCAACAATGTGAGCATGGCCCTCTTAGGGAAGTTTCAGTTGCCTCCCTTGCCTGTCGACTAGCAGCGCCTCTGAATGTGGCGATGAATGCGCTTACAGACTTTGGCCTTTGGAAGTGTTACTGAGCCCATGCAGCGATTTCTACTACAGCCTCATGTCTGTTTGAGAACAGGAAGTCTGAGGGACCAAACATCACAGCCACCCAGCATTGTTTTTGTTTTGTGTCTTGTCCCCTGCAAACAGAGATTTCATCAGTTTAACTGAATCTTTTAATGACATATTGTACTGTAGACCAAGAGATCGCAAGATTGAATTCTACTCTAAGGAAAAAGTTTGCACTACATTTCAATCCCAGTCTTTTACGGAGTGCCCTCTTTACTCCGCCTCTCAGGCTAGGCTCTTTTTATACCCAATCATGTCACTTATCTGTTTTGCAGTTTACCTTTTTTTTGTTAACAATTGTTTTCTTTTATTCTTTGAGTTTTTCCACACCTTTTTCAGTCTTGTGTTGCCACTCTCCCAAATTTTTGAAACATGTCGCCATGTTGGCTTAAAATTCAAAATGGGCGTTTATGTTTCCAAAAACAATTAAGTTTCTGTTTCCACACTTCACATGCGGCCTTTATGCTATTTTCAATTAAATAAAGGGTTTCAATGTTTTGCAAATCATCACATTCTGCATCTGGACTTTATTGGAAATGGGGTTGTATAATATCTACATGCTGGAAGCTCTGGGGTGTAGAATGACTGTGCGCACAGCATAGGTGCAGTGCAGCTTTAGAAAAGTTGCACCAACTTCAAAATAAATCCTCAAAATCGACATTCTGAGTGTCTTGGCATCCATGTCAGTCATTCCACTTGGCATAAATCTTGTAGTTTTGTGTTAACAGACGCTGGTTAGAGAGAAAGTGTTCTTTCTTATTGTTGAGCTGAATGGACGAGCTCAGACATGAAAGTCAGGATGTAAAATGAACAACTTCACCTCCGGCAAGAATCACTGACATTATGAAGGGATTCCCCTCGCACATAACAGGTGGCGAGGTGTGTGTGCTGCTGTGTAATGAAAAATGCATGTATCAGACATTTGGTGTTCACTGTTTAGATAACCTCCGGGTGGTTTAACTTGATGCTCCTGGATAAATGGATTCTAACTCTGGTATCAGTGCTGACACGCTGAACTAACAATGTCTGAGTGTGTTTAATGTGGCATCCCCCAAGGCACAATTTTAGGGACTCTTTTATTTTCCTTCTTCATGCTTTCCCTTGACTCTATTTTTATGAAATATTACATTTTGATTATAATTTAACCACCAGTTTCATCTGACAGTGTCTGCCTCCAACAGCCTCTTTGACCTCATACAACTTACAGCAATGCACCTCGGGCCCTGTCGTTGAATTTGCACAATTAGAGAACAAAAAGATATTGGTGTAATCTTTAACGTTTCATTGAATTTCAATCAACAAGTCAATTATGTTTGGAACAGCCTCTTTGAGCTGAGAACCTCTGCCAAATCGAAGACGTGGATGTCCTGGAAATGGTTTCTCATGCTTTTATCAAGTTTGGCTTGAATACTGTACTGATTACAAAGTTTACAGATTCCAATCTGAAACAACCTTCAATGATTAAAGATTTACAATGCATCACACATGTTCTGGCTATAGTCAAATCTTCAATACTTTTCAAAACCACATGTTTTAAAAAGATAAAAACTTTATTATTTTAATATATAGTAATTAATTGATAGTATCAAGAAATTGCCCAGCATTGCTTGCCTTTGTATTATTTATTTATTTTTATTATTAAAGGTTTATTTGTGGGCTTTTATGTTTTTATTTAGAGATAGGACAGTGGATAGTCTGACATCGGGGAGAGTGGGGAAAGACATGAAAAGGAGCCACAGGTCGGTTTAGAGCCTGGCCCAGCTTGTTTAGGAGACTAGCCTCTGTAAATAGAATTTCCCGAATTTCCCCTCTGGGGATCAATAAAGTACTATCCTATCATACTATCCTATAGGGCGTGCACACTAACAACTAAGCTTTCGGTGCCCCTGTCTTATTCTTCTTTCCTTGGTATTGAAACAGGTATTGAAATAGTTTCGATTTTTAGTAGAATATATAGAGTATGTTGGCCTGGGATCAGATTTTGGTATGGTAAGTGTTCAGGGTTTCCATTTGTATTGCGGATAAATCGCCCACCAGCTTTTCTGCAAATTTTGGTCGTATGCAGAAAAACAGTCCATGTGGAGAGCAAGGGCCACTGCGATGCAATCCTGCGACCCATTGGCAGCCACCTTACACCACCTTGCTTTGATTAATGTCTTTAAGCAGATATCTGAGTAAAAGTGCAGCTAACAATCTGCGTATAGACGTTGTTTCTCTACACCAACTCCATTCCTACTTCTTATGTTGCTCGTCGGGCTGTATCCCAAGCCAATAAATGGAAACGGAAGCCTTTCCTGGAGGTCTTTTATTGCTTATCCCTGGCTATGAAGGAAACCCCAAAGAGTTGGCTGTTGCCTCCAAAGCCAATGGCCAATTGGTTTCTAGATTGTGCTCTGGCAGACATGTATTGGTGACCATTGGTATAAAGACTATATTTTAAGCTCTACCGCTGTATTTAAAGCCTTAAATGGATAAGCTCCTGGAATGTGGGCTGGGATTTGGCCAGCATCACTGATCTGCTAAATCACAAATAATTTCAAACATCTTAACAACGATGCGTCTTGTTTGATATGGTCTAAGAAGTGGCTCTCCTTTGTAATGGCTAAAATATGTACTCCTGTATACCTGCCTGTTCTGGCTCAAAAGCACCTTGAGTTAATTCCTGATATTTTGAAATGTGTCCTTCAGGATTCTGCGTTTCCCCTGGCAGATGAGTGAGGACAGAGTCCGGAGAGTCCTTCAGGAGGCATTCGGTGTTTGGAGTGAAGTGACTCCTCTTACATTCAGAGAGGTCATCACTGAGAAAGCCGACATCATACTTGACTTCAACAGGTAAGAAGGCTCTTCACGTACTTTACCCACCAATGTCAACCACATCAGGTGCCTTGCTTGTGTTATTTATTTACTTTAAGTCAATCTGTTGCCCTCATTAGAACAGGAACGAGTAAAACCTAACCAAAGTCTTTTGGTGCTTAAACCTTTCCAAAGTGGGACCATTTCACCGGTTTATCAATGCTTGTCTAGAGTGGATGTGGGGAGGCAAGAGGTGGTGTCACTAGAATCAGAATCAGAATCAGCTTTATTGGCCAGGTATGCTTAACACATAAGTAATTTTACTTTGGTAAACTGTGCTCTCTTTGTACAAAGGTATAATATTAAATATCAACAATAAACACAAAAAATAAACAAATAAGCAAAGACAAATAGTGTTGTACTTGAAATCGGTCTTGGTCTCAAGACCCTTTTTTGTCTTGGAATAGAACGCATTTTTACTCGGTTTTGTCTCGGTCTCATACTGGTGGGACTGCGGATTTCAAATCAAGACCGGTCAGGACCACCACTGACAGGCAAATTTTCCTCGTCATTACTGTGATAAGAAGGAAAACGCCTCTTTTTAAAAGAACGAATAACTTCAATTAATTCATTATTTGATATTTATCATCTTGGTTCATCTTGGTCTCGTTTAGTGTGGTCTTGACTACAACACTAGGTGTAACTTGCCACAGGTACAGAGACTAACTACAGGAATTGTAGGAACAAATGAGTTTTATTCTGCAAGGACCGGAGAAATTGTAGGAAATAGGTGTAACCAATAATTTAAAAGACCCTTTAGACACAGACCCAAAGTGGGTATCCTTCTGTTTTCCAAATGATCTCTATAATCTCCCCTCAGACATAAATCTTTTGGATCCTTTTGTTGGAGTGACCCAGGAAAAAAACAAAATGAGGTGTATCCCAGCCGAGCCCAAGAGCAGATTACAACCTGAATGAAAACAATACAGGACTTGTTTGGCAGCGTTTTTAATATGAGCCTCCAGCTACATATTTATCAGCTCGGATTAGTCATTTTGGCATTTGGTTCACGATATTTCCATGTCATAACAACTCTCATTTCACTGTATGCATTACGTTAGAGTTTCATAACTACTACTGCCAAGCCCTTGTTTTGTCAAGAGTTGACCTTGAATCAATTACTTACATAACTATGCTGAGCACCAAAAAAACAAAGTGATCTGCTATGCCAATTTTGTTTTTGCTTGAACATAAAACACCAGCATGGTAAGCATATAAGGATGGCATGGTATCACATATATGAGATTGCTTATGTACAGTAACAGATGTGCTTGGGCAGGTACTGGCATGGGGACAGCCTACCTTTCGATGGTCCTGGAGGAATCCTCGCCCATGCCTTTTTCCCCAGGACACACAGAGAAGGAGAGGTTCACTTTGACTATGATGAGCATTGGACATTCGGAAATGATGTGGGTGAGTAAATCAGAGGTACTTTAACCCTTTTTCACACATGCACAAAACTCCTGAAAACTTCCTCATGAGCGACAAGTGTGAACGCAAACAACCAAATTTCAGCAAGAGTGGGTGGGATGATTTCTCATTTATCCTGCAACCTCTGCAAGAGTGGTACAATCTTTGCCAGTATGTTGTTTTGCATTCTTGCGCTAATACTGTGATGTGTCCAATTACATCCAGCATTGATACAAAGGCAAAAAATTGCACCGTAGCACAGAGCCCCCCTCCTCTCGTCAGACAGTAAAGATCTCCTGTGTTGAAGTACATGTATGAAAGAGCAAGATTTCAGGGGCATGCTGTCCTACATTTTTGTAGAAATTTCAGATGTGCATGTGTGCCAACGGTTTTTGAGGTTAATAGATCTTCAGTGTTGACTATATCCTGGTTCTAAGGGCTTTTCCTTTTAACTTGAACAAGCTAACTTCCTGTCTTTTAATCCCTTTTCAACCCTTGCTAGGCACTGATCTCCTGCAGGTGGCGGCTCATGAGTTCGGTCATGTCTTGGGTCTGCAGCACTCCATGGAGCTTGATGCCGTGATGAATCCTTTCTACAGCGACTCCTACCCTCTGCAGCTGAGCGAGGACGACAAGAGGGGCATCCAGTATTTATATGGCAGTCCTCGGCATGCACCCCCTCCTATGACGGAGACCAATGAGATAGACATTGGAATGGTAGGACAACGAGAAAGGACTTCAAACCCTTGAATTTTGTAGCTTAAGTTTTATGTCCAAAGACAGAAATCATCCAACTCTGTGTGTGGTTTTCCAGCCGGACGCCTGCAGAACAAGCTTTGATGCCGTGTCCATGATCAGAGGAGAGCTGTTCTTCTTCAAGTCCCGGTACGTTTGGCGTATTCGTGATGGGCAGCTACAAGCTGGCTATCCAGCCTTGGCTTCACGCCACTGGAGAGGCATTCCTGACCACATCGATGCTGCGTATGAAGACAAGACTGGGAACATCTGGTTCTTTCAAGGTTGGTCATCATCATACAGAGGCAAACTTGAAAAGGCTTCATTTGGAGCAGTAGATAAATGCTGTTGATATCTCGAGGGCTGGAGCTAAATCAAGAGTGTGCAATGAAAAGAGTTCAAGTGTAGGGCTTTCGATGGTTTCATATCTAAGGAAAGTCTGTCAAAGTCTGTAGGACGTCTGTAAAAGATTTTCCATTTTCTGACTTTTTTCCCCGCCACAACAGGTGAGAACTACTGGGTGTTTGATGCTGAGAGGAAGATCACAGGACCAGATTCAGTGCGGCAGCTGGGTCTTCCTATAACAGATATCGAAGCAGCTCTGAAGTGGGAGGAAAACCACGAGGAGAAAGTCTACCTCTTCAAGTCTGCTTCGTACTGGTCTTTCAACCCACAGCAGAACCAAGTGGACAGTGTCCATCCTCACAGCATCCATTATTGGGAAGGAGTGCCCGGTCGGATTGATGCAGCCTTTCGGGACAAATATGGTGAGGACTCTGTGAAGAACCTGTTGGTTTTCTTTTTTATTTGTCAAAGTCTTTAGCTTACTGTTGTCTTTCTCACACTCTGACAGGTTATGCCACTTTCTTGAGCGGATCGCGCTACTGGAAGTTCGATCATGTGGCACTGAAAGTGCTTGGAGGGTACCCACGAAACATCGGCATGGACTTCTTTGGATGCCCCACCTAAATGTCTAAATGAGTTCCAATGCAGACATCTGTTGCAAAGAGCAGTGGTTTGATATTTCAGCCGCATCCGTCCCACCGAACATTGTGTCTGCTTGGGCCCTGAAATCATTCATTCAAAAGACTGAAAACCCCTTTAATGTAACAACAAACACTTTCTAAAGTCATTTGACTACACACAAATGGTTTCTGTGTGTTTAGTTCAAAGAAGCAGTCATCGGAGTTTCTACTTCAAGTTGAAGAGTCATCTGTAGACAGGTTGTGGAAATTGTCCTGTTCCTCCAAGCTAACGAACACACATGTTATAAATACACATTTGGTTTTAAGCAAGCAATTATTTCCTGCTTGACAGCTTTTCAGTCACCGCGACCACAAACCCAGGGTCGTGTCCAGAGGCTGGCATGGACGGCCCCCAAAAATCTGATTGGCCAAATCTGTCTCAAAGTTCAACTGCATAACGATCTTTAACGATGATTGGCTGCCTGCTGGGTGTTGCACATTGATTTTTAATAGCTTCTTTTCCAACACACACCAGTTATATTAAACACTAATATTACCCGAACAGAAGAGTAGCATAGAAGCTGGATGGTATGGATTGTTTTTTTGGTACCATTCTCAACTTTTGACTGTGGAAACACAAATAAATGCGTACCGAACCCAACTGTACTGGACCACAAATAATTTGATTCTGTCAGGTAACAAGATAATACACGTTTTCACAGCGTATCTTGGCAATGACCGTGTTAAAGAGTCGTGATGCTTTTGCTTTTGTGACTGATTTATGTCTCTAAAGTCCGGTTTCCAACAAGGGGTCCGGTTCAGTTTGGTTTGGTATGGAACATATTTATAGGCGTTTCCACTGTCAACAGTTGGCAATGGTACCAAAATAACTGATCCGTACTGCTGTACTTTTTTGTTTCCCTTCTGTTGGGTTGCCAAGCGTAATGATCTGACCCTAAAGAGTGGAGCTAGACACACTGCAGTCCGCTGATTGGTTAAAAGAATCTTCACTTCCCGTGCAACAGTTGCAATTAAGGACAAGCACAAAATGCACCATGTTTAGATACCCTGTGGATTCGGAGAGAGAAATTTCAAGGCTGTTTTTGTTTTTTGCAACTACTGTCAGCACGCTCCACCCCATGGACGACCTTGGAGATGCAGACTTCCTACTTCTTATTGAATTTATTGGCCGTCTCCACTATGTCGCGCCGCTGCGATTAAGTGATGTGTAAGAGTACGGTCGGCTGTGGAAACGCAAGCAAGATCAAAGTTAACCGTACTAAACTGTACTGAACCAAACCAGACCGCTTGGTGGAAACAGGGCTTAATGTGTCCATAAAAATAAAAAATCAAACTGTGCATCTATTCAAACACAGCCTTTTCTAAATGTACAGCAGCATGTTGAGAAAGAATCTCTCAACAATGTCTTTGAATATCCAGGTGCTATTTAGGGTTCAGTAGGCAATGTAACCAGTACCTCATTTAAAATACCAGTTTATGAACATCTTTTGTCTTTCATTACACGTTGTATTATTTTGATAGAGCCATCCAATCGTCCTCGTTGTCTATTGAAGAGCTTTGGTTCAGTTCTCTGGTTGTTGTTTTGCCTTTGTGAGAAATTTTCTCAGGAAATAAAAAAAATGAATAAATCATGTGTGTCAGTCCTGATCAGAGAAATGAGACAAAGCTTCACAATGGTTTGATTTACTGTATATTTTTTATATTTTGTATGTTTGGTGTTACTGTTTCTAATCAGTGCAGGACATTGATTATGCATTTAATTGTAAGATATGTTGGGATGTGTCAGCAAAAAGTCCAAGTTTGAAGCTTGGAAACTTCTCAGTTGTCGACATGTCTGAAAACAATAAGATCTTTTCTGATGTACTTTCAACATATACTGATCTGTCTGCTATTATATTCAGTTAAGTCAGAACATGTCTTTCTTATGTGAAGTTCTTTGTTTAAAATGAAAACTAAAGATAGAATAAAAATCGTCTTTTTCATATTGCTAGTGATGATCATTTCTTAAAGGATGAGAATGTAACTCTGACACCTAGTGTTTAAAATGGGTACTGCAGTCCAAATTCTAAACATTGTAGAGAGCTGTCTCCCCCCGCCCCCTCCTCTCTAGAGTTGATGCTCATGCAGGTTGCCATGTTGCAGACACTGAAGCTTCAGTGTTTATCCAGCTCTGCATCGGTCTGTAAACCTTTCTGTGTTCTAACCGCTCTCCATTTTTCAAAAGTATCTCCAATATTGATCCTAGTTTGAGCACGTTTCTGCTCGTGGAGCTTATTAGAAACATGTAGAGGCTTTTTAGGTCGGATACAATCACTTCTATCTGAACCAGTTCTCTTGCCCGCTTCGATAAAATTTGTACTCAAAGTAAATTAGAGTAAGTGTATGCATGTACCAGCTGATACTCTGTATAAACTGAACCTGATTCTGTATGTTTCGGGCATCCCTATAAAGATAAAGATAAAGATAAACTTTATTGATCCCCCATGGGGGAAATTTTTGCATTACAGCAGCTCAAGAAAACAGGAGACGGGAATATAATTATTTAAAATAAAAATAGAAGTTAAAAATCAAACATATTTACATCAGTTAAATAAAAAATACAATAATGGAAAATTACACAGTATCTACACTGGAAAGAGTTATTGTTATTAAAAAAAAACACACAGTGTGTAGCATGAGGTGGTGATGCTGTTGAAGAGTCCGATTAAACAGTCTGACGGCAGATGGGATGAACGACCTGCGATAGCGCTCTGTCATGCAGGGTGGGTTTCTGAGTCTGCTGCTGAAGGAGCTGCTCAGGGCCCCCACAGTGTCATGTAGGGGGTGAGAGGGGTTGTCCATGATGGATGTCAGCTTCACTAACATTCTCCTCTCACCAACCTCCTCTACAGAGTCCAGAGGACAGTCCAAGACAGAACTGGCCCTCCTGACCAGTCTGTTCAGTCTCTTTCTGTATCTCTCTGTGCTCCCTCCTCCCCAGCAGACCACTGCATATAGGAGCAATTCATTGCAGAACCAAACTTGTCGCACTGTGAAATCTTGGTGCCATATATCAAAGAGTTTATGATGAATGGAGGGCAACTCTTAGTGAACATGTGCAGACATGGTGACCCTCAGGGAGCGTTCCTGGTGTTTAAAATGCAGACGGCACATTATTCCTTAAACGTCCTCCCATTAAAATGCAGCAGATACCTGAATATAATTTCAAGGGATTTATGGAGATGAAGAAAAGTGTTTCAGAGATTGTAGAATTTAAAGGTCAAACCAGTGAGATGTGTAGTGAGTGAACTGATAAAGTGACCTTACTATATGATCAGACATTAAGGAAACATGCTATGTTGAAGTGCTGGCTTCTCTGACAACAATGCAGCAGCCAGTATGTCCTTCTTCTAACTGTAGATTTTGGTCCTGAATGGTTTGTTCTCGTTTTGATCAAAGAAGCAGGCGGCACCCCCACATGACAGTTTTGCCCCTCACCCCCCTAGAAATACATGTTCTCTCTTTACTGGTTTTGCCCGGTCATGTTTAAGTGGTGGACATAAAAAAGAAAACAATTCAGGAAAAATCATTCTTCTTTCTTTCAACAGTCAAACACATCGTTCATCAAGTGGTTAAGTAATTACCAAATGGAAGCATTAATCTTGTTGCTGATGGTCATATAGAAGCAAAAATATTAATTTAGTCTCTTTTATATCAAGCGAAAAACTCCTCACAGGAGCTTAAACTACTTTTTCAGATGTCAAGAGTGACCTTAAAAACGCTGACACACCAAAGAGATCGTCGGTCTAGTTGGATCTTCGGTGAGCGTTTGTCGCCCTAGTTTTTGCAGTGTGCAGCTCCGTCGGCCCCCGTTTTTCGACATGTTGAATTGGTGTCGGCGGTCTGTGAGAGGGATCCCTCTGATTGGCTGTTGAAAGATTTCATTTACCTCCATCTCTCGACACAGGTTCAGGAAAGCCCCTTGAGCATGTCGCTGTAGTATCCATGCTTTCACCCATTAGTGCGGTTTCTCCTTATTTGTCGCCTCGCCTCTTCTTTTCTTTTTCCACTAAAAGACCAAGAGCTGACAACGCAGCACCATTTTCAACTTTTTATCAGACATTATTCTCCATTAGTAGGCGACCTATAATACAAGTGGTGACCGACAGCGGTATGAAAATGGTCTTCTGGTATCATAACTACGGACTACCGCCCCCTGCTGGCATGGAGAGTTATTTCCTCTCACATGCAGAACGTACGTGGTGATTGGCTGTCGGCTGTAGTCTTTGCGGGGTGTTTAAGTGAAACTTTTTGGCCAAGACGTGAGGCGACACCATAGACGGCCTTCTAGTTTTTGCCGTCTGCTTGGTGTGTCAGGGTCAAAAGAGAAGAAAGCAACTGAGGTAACAAAGGGAAAAACAGATGAAGACAAACAATAGAGTGTGTCTGCAGAGCACTCCTTGAAACTCTGATTATTCCCAGGTTCTGCCTCATGTAATCATGAGTCATGTTTCAGTCATCTGGCTGTGGTAAGGTCGGTATGCTGCAGACGGCAGCTTGGGTCGAACATTGTTTCCAGAGTGTAACAGATTAAAGTTGTGCAGTCACAGCGCCTGCAGGTACCGGCTAAAATTAAAGATATTCAATAAGATAGTGAAATAATCAGGTGTTGGAACAGAGTCCGTGTGTAGTCTGAATATAGGAAAGGCAGGGTTGATCATTTCCTCAAGATCCACTTTTTAAGATTTTGGTTGAAGTTGTCTAAGGTCCTGACAGAAATTAATAACTTATTGGGGTGTGTGTAGACAAACTAGGAACACATATTAGTGTTAGAAAGAAATTGTGAAGTGGATTTAGCAAAATATGTGATATATAATATCATGAACCACAATTACTATGGCCAGTTTATGTTGGCATGAAGTTTTTTGTTTCACCATTTCCTCACAAACTAGCTTTGATTCTGTATCTTTCAGCGCAGGAATCAACATGTTTATCAATCTTCCTCGAGCGATGAAGATGTGAGGAACGAGCTGATAAAACTTTGTCGACTGAATCTTTTAAACAAAGTTTTTCATCTCCTGGTTTCAAGAAATCAGCAAACTACATTTCAAAACATCCATCAACTTTTCTTTATTGTTATTTTCCATATAAAAAAAAAAAAAAAAAACAAGTCGACTATAAAGGTGAAGCAATTTTACAAAAGAAGAGAACAACAAGCAACAAACTTTAACATCATTCTCAGAGTACCGGTATGTTCAAGTTAAGAAAAAATGGTCACTTTAAAAGACACCGTTGGTTCTCTTCAGCTCTCCGCCCTCAGTCTGCCGACACTGACACGCCTGAGGTGACACGGGGAGAGTCGGTCCATCATGCACAGAACAGTAACAACTACCTACAGTATGTCTTAGCATGCATGAACACCGGAGTCCGTCTGCTAACATCAAAACTAGCTCTGATTGGATGCAAACACTTGACAGATCTAAGCCGCTGTTGTGTCCGAGCTGTAACATCATTTATTTAGACATGCACACCGCTGTGATAAAAACTGTAACATCCTCCACAACATGAAGAAGTAACCGTTGAAGAATACTCTATATCAGCTCGTTTACATTCATTAAAGCCTCCGTGTGTTGGAGTTATTGTGTCGCTACTGCATCTCTCTAATTCGTCTCATGGCAGTTGTTTGGTTCTTACTCTCTGTGATTTCTGGGGTACGTTTTGATGCCTTCAGGTCAGTTTAAGTTGATTATATGTAACATACATCGCTCACTGTGGAAATATTGACCATGACATCATCGTCCTAGCGTAAACGGTGACATTCAAAAGTCTGCTCAGTTAAAACGATTTTTTACAGAAGTTCACTTCACAAAGCTTAAACTCCTCTCATCTGAAAAGCAGGGGCAGAAAGTGTTAGACCTTTTTTCAGTTCTTTTAAATGAAACAAAATGTGATTTCTTGTTTCCGCCCATTCACCGATCGACGACTTGTTTCGGCTCTAAAGAAAAACCTGCGACACTTTTGCTTTCCTACTGCCCTCTGGTCATGAAAAACAGAAGCGCTCTTTTGCCCTCAGAGTCGGACACTTCGACCAAATTCTTACTGAGTGACTTAATGCTGGTGTAAATGCCTCCACCGCCTTTGTTCAGACTACATATCAATATCTCCAGATTTGATTAAATTGATTTTTTTTAAGAAAACTGAAAAACCAAACTCTGGCATGAAACATGATTCTTTACTTTTTGGATTTAAGACAAACTCTGAGTCAGTTTGAATTCTATTTAAATCAAATTTTCTGCAGCTCATTCTCGGTCAGGATGCTCCGCTCCTTGAGGCTCTTGAAGAGACTTCAGTGGTTTAGGTATGAGGTTTATAACAGATAACACCAAGAGTCCTGCAGCGGGTCTGAACAGCTGGATAGCTACGAGCATCAGATGATTTTTGATGCTTCAACGATGTAAAGTTTAGGATGCACATGTCACCAGGTCAACGATGTCTGTGGAAAATAAACAACTCAACGTGTGTGCATAGTTTATCTTTAAGCTGGAGAAGGAAACTTTGGAGACACCAGATAGAGTTAAAGTTTTGAACCAGAAAGATGCGTAAGGCGGCGGCGGCTTCTGGCTGTGGTGTTGTCTTCTGTATTAAACCGCCTTCATTTTCTCCTCCGTTCTTGTTCGCTAACTTTTAAGAAGACGACAACACTTGGACGTAAAGACGGCATGTCACAGATACTTTTTTAATCGCGGGCTGTTGTGAATTCCTACAAATAAAAACAAAGGCTTTACCAAGTAATTTTCTTCCTTTGCATTAAAGGTCTTATTAGAGACAAATCTGATCTGAGTGCAGTCTGAACAAAGCACAGGACGTATTTAAAACAGATCGGGATGTGTTGTCTATGAATGCATGAAATCCAGACACACACACAATGTTTACACCGTCCATATTTGAAATGAGTCAGGAAGCATTTTGGGGAAATATTCGCTCAGTGTGTGGAAAAAAGAGGCATGGTCTGTCTCCTCTGTCCTTGTGATAACAGCTGCTATTTCACAGATTCGGGATCTGGTCGACGGAGGAGCTAAAGACGACTACGAGGCGTGTGGATACGAGGCCTTTGAGGGGAAACACTGGCGTTCTGTAAGAAAAACGTCCTTCCAACGTCCTTAGTTCTAGTTATAGCTGCGCCTTTATTTCCTCTTTCTATACAAACAGTTTAGCATGTCGGCATTGAACCACCTGTGCTGCAGATTTAGCAGTTATTAAGAGAGTAGCACTCAGAGAAACAGGCAGACTTTCTCTCCAGGTGTACCACGAGCAGAGTGTCCTGACATGACACACACGATGAATGTTGCATGATGGGTAACAGACCAAAACCTCCAATTTAAAACATCAGCTAACAGGTGTTAGCTCCATGCTATATGCAGAGAAACATGATGACCTGTGTGTGTGTGTGTGTGTGTGTGTGTGTGTGTGTGTGTGTGTGTGTGTGTGTGTGTGTGTGTGTGTTCAGTCATTGATCGCTGAGGACATTCATGTGTCTGGGGACGTCCAGATGCTCCGTTCATGATTTCAGGATGAGCTGTTTGAGTGTGTGAGTGTTTACTTGATCCTTTCAGAGTAACAGGAGTCTCCAGAGGAAACCTAACGGGATGCTGCTTCCTGTTTCTTCTACCAGGACGGAGCCGTGTTGGCCAGTCGTCTCATACGCCTGAAAGAAAAGTCATGCACATTGTTTAAACATTTCTACAAGAAACTGAAACAACTTTCCTCTGTTACAACTCTGATTACAAAACAGTTTCACTACAGGTTGAAACTCAGATAAAAAATAGCATCGAATTCAGAATGTACGCACATTTTGACCATCAAATTTCAATTTAAAAATTAAATATCTTGTCTTAGAGCTGTTTCTAATAAACTATATTTTATGTATATATATATGACAGTGCACAAATGTTTTATGAGGGTGCAGATGTCTGCTCTGTAACTCTCTCTCTCTCTGCTCTTCACATCATCAGGAAACAAAAAAGGAGAAATGCTTATTTTAAATATTTGTTTTCCCGATGCGAACTCAAGTTCCGAATTAATTTAAATTTAGGTTTTTGGTACCTTTGTAGGCAAACAATAATCCGATGCAGCCAATATTGCCCAAATACATTTTTTGCCTCATGTATTTTTGCAAAGACGAAACGCTTTTAGGATTTTTTCTGTTTCCTTGCTAAAGGTTATCTCTCGTCTCGTGATTCATAAAGTGATACGTTTTACTCCTCGTCCTTACAGAACAGTAAACTGATATCCATTGCTGTGCAAAAGTCACAGCCCACCTCTAGATGTATTGTGATTTAGTGATGTTATTGTTATTTATCATTCCTCTTTCTGGAGAGCGCCTGATTGGGAACGGTTTTACTTTTCAGCGTGATAATGATCCCAAGCACACTGTTAATGCCGTGAAATTATATTCATAAAGAAAAACTGCAGCAAAAAGAATCCACAGGCAGCCATGGACTGACCTCCACAGAGTCCAGACCTGAATATTAAAGAGGCAGTACTGGATCATCTGGACAGAGACAGGATTTAAAGACGCCTGGTGTTAAGTATGTTCAGAAAACTTGAAGACAGTCGCCCCAAAAGAGTTTAAGATGTACGATGTGCAAAGGGATGTCCCACTGAGGACATCCTGTTGCCAGCAGAAGCTATTTTGTTTTAAAGTGTTTTTCATTTGTGGAGATATTTCCTGAATTTTCTAGTTGTATCCGATTGATTAAAACTTTATAAATAAAAACTTTGATTTCTGCACAGCGCTGACTATTTGTTGAAGTTCAAGCTGCCTGTCTCACCTCGTGTTCCTGTCCTGGTCTCTGATCTTTTTCTCCATTTCAGCATCCGTGAGGGTCTCCAGCAGGGGGCACCACGTGTCTGCATCGCCTGTGTTGCGGATGGCAATCTCTACTGTGGGGAGGGGGTTCTCACTGCGGGGAATCACATATAATCAGCTTAATGTAGGTTAAAGAGAGAAGGTGAGTTAACATACTCGATGAAGGGAGGTCATACAGGCCTGGTCTTCAAACTTTTATCTCTACTGTCTGCGTCTGTGAGTTTATGAAGTCCTGTAGGGGTGAGCGTGTGTGTGACTCACCTGAAGGCGTAGGTCCTCTGGTGCCAGCTGAGTTGACCCCGGATGCTGTAGGCGATCGTGGTGACGAATTCCCCGCCGAGGCCGAGCTCGGAGCAAAGCTTCAAAGCAAACGACTCGGGCGAATTCTCCCGCTCTGACATGTCCCACTCGAACTGATCCACCAACGAGATGTTCCCCACGTGGATGTTCAGCTGAAGAACAAAACAAGATTCTTAATCTAATAATTGTCCACTCACACTTTTTTTTTTCCCCCCTTTCTTTTCTCTGAGGAACTGCTTCTCCCCACCTTGATGATGACTCTCTGGTCCGCCTGCTCCTCCATGATGCTGTCGGTCGGGTACGACTCGATTTGCTGACGGATGGCTGAGGCGATGGCGGGGACGAAGGCGAGAGGATTCAGGTCTAGGTCGTCACATAAGATCTCTGCAAACATCTCTGGCGTCATCAGCTTCTCTGAAAGTGGAGATCGGGGAGGTTTGAATATCTGACTGACGACGACGATGATGATGTTTGTTCTGGATGATTTATGTCTTTTATATTTACCGTTCATGTTCCACGTGAAAGCATCTCTCAGTTTCTGTCCGTCTATCTCCATGTCCAGTCGAATGGGAACCAGCGACTCCACCTGCGCTGCGTTCTCGTGGATCACTGCCGGGTCGTGATCATCAAAGCTGAGCGACCAAAAACACACAAACTCAGTGCTATGTTGAACTGAGTGGACGGATGACGGGGGGCACAACGTGACTAATGTGAAAATCCTCTAGCAGGTTACACATTATGTTGCACTTTTTTTTTCTATATGTTAAACAAAGTGTCATTCTCACCACAGGGGAAACGTCCTCTTCTTGTCGCGTCCCATCCGGTTGCGGTTGATGGTGGTGGAACAAGGCACGGCGTCGAGGTGGTGGGAGCTGTTGGGCAGCGTGGGAACCCACTGACTGCTCCGCTTTGCTTTCTGCTCCCTGCGCAGAGAAGATAAAAAACAATTTGTGTCAAAGCAGTAATCCAAATATCAAGTCTGGCCCGAAGCTGGCGGTCTCTCACACACACACACACACACACACGCTGTTGAGTCGAGGTTACCTGAGGTAAGCTGGTGGCTCGGTGCTGATGGACACCGCCTTGTACTTCTCATCGTTGCCCTCAAAGATCTCTTCACATTCAGACGCCTTCAGCAGAGTCACACTGGTGGCTTCAGATGAAAAAGAAAACAGAGACAGGTCAGCTTCTGAATCGTGGTACATCTGCAGTGCATTGTGGGTAGAAACACTGAGTAGTTCTAAATGGAGCACTATATAATCATTGGGCCTTTACTGCTCAAAACATCTAGCTGACTTAGACTCACTTGAAGTTGTTGTGGTAATCTTAAGGATCATGATGTAACTCTGACACCTAGTGTTTAAAATGGGTACTGCAGTTCAAATTCTAAACATTGTAGAGAGCTGTCTCCCCCCCTCCTCTCTAGAGTTGATGCTCACAGGTCACCATGTGGTGGACACTGAAGCTTCAGTGTTTATCCAGCTCTGCATCGGTCTGTAAACCTTTCTGTGTTCTAACCTCTCTCCATTTTTCAAAATCATCTCCAATATTGATCCTAGTTTGAGCACGTTTCTGCTCGTGGAGCTTATTAGAAACATGCAGAGGCTTTTTAGGTCGGGTACAATCACTTCTATCTGAACCACTTCTCTTGACCGCTTCCATCGCTGCAACACCTGTTGGTTTGACCTGATAACTGCTCTCATATCTGGCAAACCGAGGGGCGTCCAAAATGGCCGTGTGGGGGTGCCTTAAAACCGCCTACCTTCTCTGGTCCAAACAAATCCAGATCATTCAGGACCAGAATCTAAAGTTAGAAGGAGGACATACTGGCTGCTGCATTGTTGTCAGAGAAGCCAGCACTTCAACACAGCATGTTTCCTTAATGTCTGATCATATAGTAAGATCACTTTACCATTTCACTCACTACACATCTCACTGATTGGACCTTTAAGAAATGTAAAGACTAAAGGATTTACTCAATTTAACACATTCATGTAGAGAGAAGTCACTGACCGTTCTAGTAATTCAAATAAAACATTTTTCAACTGAGTCTTCAAAATGTTAAGTAGAGAAAAACACAAAGAAACTGAGCTCACCGTGTGACGAAGCTACAATCTTCTTCCTCTCCTCCACCGATGCTAACCTCCTCCATAAAGATGGATATCTTTTATACAGAGAGCCTCTGAACATACGCAGATAGTTACCAACCTGCAGAGCAGAAAGAAGATGATTGAGTGAAACAAAACTAAAACAACAACAAAGAAACAAAACCTTCAATTCTACAAAGATGTGCAGGATTTCAATTGTCACACTCCACCTAAATCCGACATTTGTAGCTCCTGAGAAACGTTTAATAGTTTATCTGACAGAACGATGTCATCACTTTTAATTAAAAACAGAAATTGGGAAAAGGGATTTTTGACATTCTGCACTCTCAGCCTGAAATCTGCTGCAGAACGACTTCAAACTCAAGGAGCTGGTGTCTTAAAGGTTTAAAGGAAACACATTGTACAGGATGTAGATGCTTAACGCTCGACTGCTGGACTCCCAGATGGTCTTTCTTTTTCAATGTAAAATTTGTTTTGTAAACTGCACTTTGTCTCTCTTGTATCTGTAATTCTGAGTCGTCTTGGCCAGGTCTCTTTTTGAAAAGAGGCTCTTTGTTTGTCTCACAGAATGATGTCTTCACTTTCAATAAAAGGTCTTTAATAAACGCACCAATGTCTCTCTGACCTTTTTCTTCATGTTTATTTCTCTGTGTGACATTTCTTCCAAATGTCTAAACGCTAAATACAATTTGCGTCTGTCAAATTCAACTTTCTTGAAGTGAGGTCTTGAGATAAGCCCTCACCTGCACATGTTTGACTCTTCTTTCAACAATATGCAAATAAACTGAACTAATATCAAGCAGGAATGCACCATGCAGATTTATAACAATCATAAAGATAACTTTCTGCTACATGTGGCTGATCAATTTCCATTTTTTATTGAATGTATCTGTAGTTTATTATCTTTAATAGATATTTAGAAACATCTTGTAGAGAATTCAAACTCACTGACTGAGCTGGACCATCACTCACCACACACTCTTTATTATGTTTTACAACACTGTGACTGACTGCTAACTATGTTTTTTCCCTTTCGTCATCTGGTTTAGTTTTATTAAAATTGACAGAAACTCAGTAGTAGACTCTTTTTCATCTCAAAGCTGCAGCTCAGATTGATACACATATACACATATATATATACATACATGTCTCTGCTGAAGTGAGAAGTTTATTTAACATTTCAGCAAAAAGAGAAAATCTTCCAACTATCATTTAGCCAGGACTGGAACTAAAAAAATAATGTTATTTCCCCTTTTCTTTCCTGTTGTTTCCCTTTGACTCCGCTCTCCTTCTTTTCGTTGTAATGTTTGTCTTTGTTTACGAAGCCATCAATGAGGCTAGTTAGCGTGCTAGCTTTAACTAGCATCACCTGAGGCTAACACGAGGGAGCTAAGTAAGCATCGTTTAAAATAATCAATGAATGGACAGTCACATACCTCCGAGCCGACCATGTAAAAGTCTCCATCCTGTTCTAGCTGGAATTTAACCGGCTTCTGGCCAAATGTTTTACTTAGAGCCAGTTGCATCCTTGCGCAGTTGCTAACAGGCTAACTAATGAGCCTCCTTTTCTTCAGATACGTTCAGGCTCACGGTAAAGCTGGGAAATCAAAGCGTCTACTCGAGTGCATTAAAAACGCTACCAATAAGCTAACTTTCCCAACAGTTTCAAACGAATTGGAGATAAATACGTAAAAAAAACTGCTATGAAGACTATCAATTAACCAGGTGTGTTAACTGAACATTTTTCACGACGTAGCTATTGTAATTATTTTGTGAAGACTTTCTCTCCGATAAGATAAACGCCACGCAGCGCTTATTCATTGTTCGGTCCAAGGTAGAAGAGGAAATTCAAAGTCCATTATCGCCCCCTAGTGATCAAATGTGAGATGACATGTAACTCGTCTTTTTATGGGCAAAATTGCCGCCAATTTAATAATAAAAACAGACTCTATAATTGTATATATTAGTGGATCTCATAATAACGATTAAGAATTTAGCTTCTCAAAATAATTAGATAAATTAATTCAAATTAATATTGAGTCAAATTATATTAACCTTAACCCTTAAAAATATATGTATGAATATAAATATTACAGCATCTTGGCATACAATGTGTTGTGAATCAAACTGCTTTCCTTAAATAAAACAGAATAACACGATCAAGCTGTGATTTAAAATGATGATTTCATTACAGTCCAAATCTCATCGCAGCCTGCACAGCAATATTTAGATTCACAGGTTATTAGAAACTCAAGGATGTTGTTGTTATCCAGTGTTAGCAAGGATTGACAAAAGCTTCTTAATCCCACTCTGACACTTGTTACTTCATCTTCTGTCAGTTCTTAAAAGCAACACACACACACACACACACGAGCAAACTGTCCTCCACACATGCTGCTGAAAAGGCAACCAGGATCATCAGGTAACATACAAATAAAAAAAGTGCTAAATCTATTAAATTAACACAAAGGTATCGTCTACAGGTCTGATTTAAGGCTGTTTGTATCAAGTCAATCAAAAGAAGGAATACAACTGTGAATACTCAACTCACACTAGATAAAGAAATGAAAAACAGTCGTTACATTTTGATGCTACGAGACTCATGATCCTTTCTTCTGGACTTAGTTTTTAGTCTTGAATCATGTCTTCTAATTTTAGAGACATCTTTGGTTTCAAACGATATTACTTACTACGGTTTAACAGATGAAACCAAAGCATCTTTTGCCACACACACATTTATTTCTTAAAAAAAGGGAAATGAAAAAAGAAAACGCGTTTGCCATCTGAATAAATTCGTTTGATAATATTTTACTTCTGTCACTTTTTTTTCTCTCTTTTTCAAGACAGTTGTTTTAGCTCTCTTTTTTTTTCTGAGATGAAGTCAAACATCACCCGAAGCCTGAAGGCCTCCCCGTCCACAGCTCCACCCAAAAGTTTCTCTCAAAAAGTCTTAGAGCGACGATCTGGCGTAAAGAACAGCTTCTGAGGATGATTTAAGCCCGAATACAAAGACAACAGACGGTTCTCTCCAAACCAGTTCAGGTTGTTTGGCGTTCTTCATCCAGAACTAAACAAACACGTCAAAAACAGAGACCATGTTTGTCCCCTTCATGTCTCAGAGGGAGTGTCCATGGAAGAGTTCGATGAGGGGGAAGTTTTAACCTCCAAGGCGCTGTCCCTCCCCCCAGGCGAAGCCGCCCGGGCGTTCCTCAGGGAGGGGGTTGTAGTTTGCGTCTTCCTCCGGAGTATCAAACAGCATCTTTCTGCAGGAGACAGAAAATAAAAAGATGGGATCATTTGAGTTTATTAGCGTTGATTTAGAGAAACATGCAAAAGTGTTTCCTTCCTGATACGTCTGGCCTGATCCGAGCTAACATGACCTGTTAGCTAGGATCAGTACCAGGTCCCAGTTTGATGACCTGTTAGCTAGGATCAGTACCAGGTCCCAGTCTGATCAGGACCAGGATTTCTCTGATGGTTGTCTCAGCTGTGGAGCTCTGACTGCAGCAACGTGAACCCGATATAAAAACATTTCACTTTGAATTCTTGACAATAAACAGGCTGAAAGGACGCTGAACATTGCATGTTGCAGGTTTTGGCTTTTCATCCGGATTTACTGATCAAAAGTAATCTGAGACTCACATGATCGACGGGGTCTTCAGCCACCTTCCACCTCCTGGCTGGTTTGGAAAAACGTCCTCCAGAAAGAAGTAGACGTGACCGACAGCAATACCTAAAGAAAGGTCAGATTCTTTAAAAGTGCTTTTCAAGTTGACGTAACGGCTGTGCAATCAAACACAAAAACACTGAATACCTAAAAGATCCACGATGATGGAGTTCCCCAGCAGCAGAGAGAATCCCATCAGCACCCAGGGCAGGAAGGGAGCCTGGAAGTTCAGCAGGCCGAAGAAGTTCATGCGCACGTTCGGGTTTCTGCGACTCCACACGTACACGAGCATGATGGTGAAGGCCTGACCCAGGAACACCAGACTCACAAACGTGCCAAATATCTTCAACCATGTCAAAGAAACGAACTCCAGAGATATTTAACACAAACAGACTGAGCCTCGCTCATCTCAAACCTGCTTCAGTCTGAGAACTTCTGATGTAGGAGGGAAGTTACACGAGTTGTCTTTTTGTGAATCTTACAACACTTCTGTTTTTTTTATTACATCGTTTACAAACCAAGCAGAGACACGTTATCTTTTTAAATGCACGTTAAGGGACAGAAATTAATCAATCAACTTGTTCCTTTCGATCCAATGACCTCACAGCATTAAGTTGAAGTTTCTGCAAGTTTCATTTAGTCTATCTCTTCCCTCTACCCAGATCCTGGAGCAACCCGAGGCGATCCCAGGCCAGAAGGGATGTATATTCCCTCAAAATCATTCTGGGTCTACCCGGGGTCTCCTCCCAGAACTTCAGGAGGACTGCCTCTGAAATCCTCCTGATCTGGATGTTCACACCTCACAGCTGGAGACTGTCCCTGTCAGACAGCAGTGGTAGACGACCAGTGGCTCTTTGCGTTCACACATGCAGCTTGCAGAACAACCAAAACTTTCCCTCTGACTTCACCTGGACGAGGCACACAGCTGCAAACTCTCATTTCAATCTTTCGCTTTTTATGTGCAGCGTGTTTATGTGCACACATTAAAGGAGTTAGAAGTTGCAGTGAGGGAGATTCTTACAAGACAACAAACACTTAAAGCAACAATTTCACAAAGGATACGGTCATCAGCAGCCCACCAAAGAGGAACATGAAGACGAAGTCAGCCGTTCGACCCCTGAAAGAGCCTTCCTCGAGCATACGACAGTATCTGTACCTGAAAACAGGACGTTAAGAAATCTACACACACATTTATGTCTTCATCATCATCATTATAACACATTGTGTAAGAGACTGTTTGTCTTTATTAGGTAGGACAGCTAAAGAGAGCTCGAGGGATGATGTGCAGCAAAGGGCAGAGGTCGGATTCAAACCCACGGCAGAGGCGATGAGGACTACAGCCTCTGTACATGGGGCGTGCAACATAACCACTAGGCACTGTTCCCCAATGATTGAAGTCATAATTTACACTCACACAAAAGAAGACCTTCTTCCATGTTGAACATTTTGAACCACGCATCAGAAAACTCCTTCCGAGTACTTTCATTATCGCCAATATTTGAAATAGATAGACGGTCGTCTTATTCTAACTGAAACAGACGAAGAAATCATCAAATGATCAAGGCTCTAACTCCATCATAACACCGCGTACTGACAGCTCACTGTATCTGTTAAATGTTTACATCTTTGCTCTGTGAATTTCAGTTACCTCTTGTAAGCATTATAACATCTGGTGCTTTTATTTTGAAGGTGGACAAACTGAAGTGAGGTGCTTTTATTTTGAAGGTGGACAAACTGAAGTGTGGTGCTTTTATTTTGAAGGTGGACAAACTGAAGTGAGGTGCTTTAATTTTGAAGGTGGGCAAACTGAAGTGTGGTGCTTTTATTTTGAAGGTGGACAAACTGAAGTGTGGTGTTTTGTGTTGACGAGCTGTTGACTCAAATCTCAACACTGATGCTCGTCAATAAACGTCTTGAGGTGAGCCAAACAAAGTTTTTCTCTGGTTTTGTTGACACAGGTCAAAGGTCAACCCGGATGTTGATTTAATAATGCACCGTTATCTTCACTTTGTACAACACGCCAACGAGCTCTGCTGAGTGAGGACAGCGAGTGTCAGCGAGTGTCGAGCGAGTGTTGAGCGCCCTCCCTTCTCGTCCTTCGACTCGAGTGACAGAGATGAAAACAGAAACGGGGCGTCGGGGTTAAAACAGCGCGGCGCGTCTCTCAGCGTCGTTCGTGGGTTGTAATGAAACTCAAACAGGAAACAATAGAATGAAGCTGATTTTGTCGCTGACGCTCGCTCGCCTCACGTCACGTGTTGAATCTCCTCTCTTTGAAGTCACAGTTGGTTTCATCACTTGTGACAAACAGAAACAGAAACCAGATTTAAAACAATTTGAACTCCTTTCAAAACATTCCAGTGTAGAGCTGTCACACTGAACCTCACTGAGTCAGAGCTTTGAGAGGTCGTGCGTTTCAGACGATCTATCAGCCCGTACTGAAAACATCTTTCATCATGTGATCTCTGAGAACACAGACAGCCTCCCATGTGAAACAGAAAGTATTCAAATCTGTTCAATGAAGGGAAACGCAGAACTGAGAAGGATACAAAAAAATCATATTGAAAAGGAAGTTGAAGCCAACTGGACCAAAAAACAGGAAGTTGGTTATAAGTCTCCATACCTGCAGAAAGAGACAGAAAAAAACATGAAAGGTTCAGCAGAAACAAAATACACAAAGACGACAAAGATGGGAAGGAAAAAGTTTGATTTGATTTAATCATGATTTTAAAAAATGCTGAAAATCTACAAAAATGGCTGACACCGTCCACTTGTTGCAGAGTCGTCACCTGAGAAGTCTTATAGGTGCGCATGCTGCTGAAACTGAGCGACCAATCAGAGGAGAGCATCCTGGTCCTCACAGCCTTAAGAAGCCTGCAGGTGCAGCCCGTCCAGAGCTGCTCATGAACGAGACTACTTTGGTGCCTCGCTTGGATTTGTGACTTTGTGTGGAAGCTGATATTTAGACGCGTGGAGGCACGCGTTGTGGCCTGAGAATAAGGATGAAGACGAGCCGTGGCTCAGTGGTAGAGTCGGTTGTCTCTCAACCAGAAGGTCGGAGGTTTAATCCCCAGCTCCTGCAGCTAACTGTCCGATGTGTCATTGAGTAAGACACTTAACCCCAAGTTGCTCCCTCTGCTTTATTGGTTAAGTATGAATGTATTAGTTCTCTTTACACAGCAGCCTCTACCATCAGTGTGTGAATGTGTAGGTGTGA